CTCGAAAATTTACCCACGCTGAGCTCCTCTTTAAATAATGACCTGACATTTGTTCTGTAGAGGGAGACAAAGCCCAGACTGATGAAAACAGTTGGCACTTGCTTTCATTTGTGCCATTCAGAAGCCAGATGATAATTTGTCCTCAGGGACCCATCGCTTCTTGGCAGACAGACCTGTCCAGCGCACTTTGCTGTTACTTTCGCTGTTACCTCCCACCCCTGGTGCATGCAGAACACACAGAGCCAATATTCAAGGCAGCCTGAACTTAAACTGGCTGCCAAAAGTCATGAAGGATTTCATGATACTGAGAATTAGCAGATAAGATCACAGGTGAATCTGGGGATGATTAATACAAAGCAGTGGACATGGGGAAAGACGAATTTGCTAGACCTACATAAAAGGTTAAATTGGCTATTGCTCAGAAAGGAGATTCCAGCGTCTCTGAACACAACTTAATGAAGACATTAGCTAAGCAATAAGCAATGGTCAAAAAAGCAGAGTATTATGAATTCCTAGCAAGCAGACCAAACCAGAAAACATTATTTCAGGTGAATTGTGAGATCACCTTTAGCATACAGCGTGCAGCTCTTTCCAGTCACAAGGGTGACTCTCCAAACAGAGAGAGATTAAGTAATTGAGGACTTTTTCCAACCTGGAAAAAGAGGTTACTAGGGACTGATAATAATGATGGTACATAAAATTGTCAATGGAATCAAGGAGGACAACAGATGCAATTGTACTCACAGTACAAACCTAAAAGACATAAAATGAAGTGTTCAAATAGCAGGTTACGTGAAATAATCACATAACAACGTATTTTTTACACAGTCTGTATTTAAACTGCAGCACTCTGTCAAAGGATGTTGTGGATAGTAACAATTTAGGATGGTTCAAAGAGATGTTTATCTTGGACAGCAGTGCTTCCCAATAATTGGAAACACTACATGAACAGATAGGGCTGTCCACACATTACCTGCAGAAAGAGAAGACTAGATGCATTTGTTATCCATGCACATGGTCCCACCACATCTTACACCCCTATAGATGCAGCGCCTGTGCTCAGATGCAGTCACTGTGAGGGAATGACGTACGTATATTTTTCATACTGTGCCTTTTATTCCATCTATTCCTGGCAGTTTTTAAGGATCCCCCAAATTGTTGCTAGTATGTTGGACCCTTTTTGTTCTACCCAGCAACAGTGGTAGCTGTAACTGCACTTCAGAGACACATACACACAGAGGGGGGAGGACAAGCTGAAGCAGGTTTTCCTCTTTAAGGATAAAAAAGTGAAAGCCCCTATGTGCTGCAAATGTTCCAGCAATTAGCTTCCAAGCACATTATCTGCTCTTCCACCTAAGCTACAGTTGAACATGTCTAATTATCATTGACATCACAGCAAGGTCAGGCAGCAGTACAAGCAGCTGTGCTGTTGTCTCACTTCTCCCTTTAAAACATGTGCTCTATTACATGATCTCTCCTCTGTTGTCTTGGGATCCAATCCAGCCACTTCCAGTTAGGGTGGTTAGTGAGGGAAAGGGAGTGGTGGTTCACCCTTGGAATAGTTACCATGCAACACCAATGCAACCAGTGCCACCAGCAGGGCTCACTGTACACAAAGCAGCGCTGAGTTCACAATGCATCTGATTCCCTGGCTATAGCAGGAGCTGCAGAAGTACAATGCTGGTTTGTGGCTGAATCAAATCTCATTTTAGTCACACTACTGTCACTGTCCTTTGAAGCTGTTATAGTTCAGGATGCCTGCACAGGCCTTCCTGCACATAAATATCCAGTGCTGAGTTTAAGACATAATGCAGGAAAGATGGAATTCGCTCTTTAGCCTGGAGTCTGGAGTCCTTCCTTTGCTGCCTGTGCCCACGTAGATGGAACCTCAGGGGCAGGAGACCCGAGATCAGTGTAGAAGCTGCTGCAGTCTCCAGCTTCCTCCCCTGTGGTGCTGAGGTGACCCGGGCAGGGCTGCAGGGAAGCAGGCAGCAGAGGCAAAAGGGCAGCTGGGCTGCCCTGTGGCTTTGAGCTGCACCCAGATGGCATGAAGCCCCTTGGCCCAAGCCCTGTAGCTCTCGTCATGGTGCAGGCAAGTGGGGTCACTGCTGCGAAGCCACAAATCTGGTTCCCACACATGAAGGTGAAGAAAGGGAGAAGCTTGGTCTCACTTTCTACAATACCCATGTCCACAAATAAGCTGGTGGAGCAGGAACTGGTGTGCAGCAAAGCGTGGCAGTTTCCTTTTCCCCCAAGAGGTTGGGAGGAAGTAGAGCATGAACCAGACCTGGTTCAGTTCCTGCTTTCCTTATGAGGCTGTGCAAGCCTGGCACATGGCGCAGACTACTCTGCAGTCTTGCTTTCCATCTCCATAGGACTCCCTTCCCTTTCCAGCTATAGACTTCAAACAACTGCTAGTCAACACTGATCTGCGAGCAAGACCATCTTCACACAAGGCACCCCATGCATCACTAAGACATCACAGAACATGAAGCAGCTCACCAAGAACATGTTAGTACATAAATACTAAGTACCAAGAACATAAATAATGATATATATTTGCCTTTCTATTGTATTTAATAAATTCATTTTAATATATAATATATAATAACATTCACCCATCCCTTCTCATTTGTCATAAGTAAGTATTTGCTCTGAATGCAGACAACACCATGGAGATGTGACTCTGTTTGCCACTCTCTGTTCCTCAGCAGCGTCACAGCTCAAAGGCTGGGACAGCTGGTTCCCACACGAGTGCTCTTTGTGCCAGCAGATCACAGACCCCACTTCAGGCACCCTCCCACCCAGCTGCATGTGTTCCACACTTGAACCCCAGAGACAACAGGATGAGAAAAGCCCATCCAAAAAGGAGAGGAAAAGCTGTTCTTTTCACAAAAATGTCATTTTAGTTCACTTTTTTTCTCCAAATAGAGAGCTCAGCGATTGGTGATAAGAAGATGGAACTGAAAATTAAAACTAAAATAGAACAGCATCCAGTATTCACCCCAGCACAGCCAGGAAGGAAATAGTTTGAAAACACCAGATGCTCTTTGTAACTGGTATTTTGGATATATATTCAGCAGGGATTTCTGCCCTCCCCATGAAAACAGACACACATTCTCATTTAACAACTAATTGATTTATTTAACAATACAAATTTCTTTCTACTGCATGGTTTAGCAGAGAGAACTTGAGAAACAAAATTAGCTTCTTTTCTTTCTTTAAAGTTTAAATGTTTACACAAAAACAACCTTTACTTCAGTAAATATAAAATTTACACACAAAAAAACTACATTAAAAAAGAACAGAATCATGACAAACCAACAGAAAAAAAATAAAAATGATGGGAATTCAGTGTAAAGGATCCAATTGCAAGGAAGGCAAGATGGGGCAACACATAACAAGGCATCCCACTTGTACACCTAGGTATCTGAAGTTGTAGGTACAATAAAAAACCAAAATACATTAAAATTAGGATTAAAACCTGTATTTGTATACCATAATATTTTATGATATAAATAACTGTAAATTCTGTAGGCAACACAGTCAATGTGTGAAATAGATAGTTTGCTCTTCACTGGAAAGTCACTGGAGTGGTGTATGAGCACCGTGTCACCCATGGGTGTGCTCATGGTCAGCAGCGAGCAGATTTTAGGTGTCCAGCCCGGATGTGACAGCCCCTTGTTTCTTTGCCAATCTGTGCTATTTCTCACACGTTCAATGACATAGTGAGAAACTCTGGTCACCTTCAGCAGTGATTTCCAGCACTTCATCTCCTGGCATTAGTCTGTTACCTGACTTAGGCATATCCACCTGCCAGATCCCCTGTTTCTCATTCCCTTTTGCACTTTATAACCTGAACTCTAAAGCTATCTTGTAGCTACCAAGAGAGACTGGCTTCTAGGTTGAGATATTTGGGATACACAGTTCTTCAAGCCACCTTCAGGAATCTGTAGAAATATTTAAAGTAGGGTGGACAATTTATGGTCAAAGCTTATGTGATACAAAAACCCGGGACCTATATAGTGATGGCTAACATTAGATCTAAATCTTTTAACATTTTTTTCTATTGCTTCAGTATTTAAAATTAACATTCGGTTTTCATATATTAAATAAGCAGAGCATCTTATTGATGGAAGTGCTACATTATCTCCAAAAACACCAGGCAGTAAGGGAGACTGTAAAGTTTAAAAGGAAGTGTAATTTTAAAAATCATTTAAGGGGATCAAGTCTCTTTTTTATAATCAATATTGTGACTGGCAACCTATAAAAGCTTAAATTATAAAACTATTAGTGACTCTACTTTTTAAACTGTATGCATTATAAATCTGTATCTTTGTTACTTACAGATGTTACAAAGCTTCCAAGCCAGAAAGCGAAGGGGGGAAAACGTAGTCTGAAAGTTTTACAGATTACGTTTTCACCAACAAAGGTTAATTTCCCCCACAACTGTCACAAAAACCTGATTAAATTTATTCTACTCCTCTCTTTTCTGGACAGATGATAGAGTGTTCAATCATGCTTTGGAAGACCACTTTCAATGGGTAACTGTAGTTCTCTAGATCAGCAAGTCTGACTTGCTTTTACTTAGAAACAAAAGCACCAGACTATCCCTAACTTGGCCCTCGTCCTGCAAAAGAAAAATGGTAGCAAGATTCAGGCAGTCTGTTAGGGGAGCAGGACTGGCCCTGAAGCAACCAGCTACATGAGCTTCTGGAGTAAGCATATGCAATGTTCTCATTCCAACTTCAGAAAGAGCCCAATAGTGTTAAATTTAAGGAAACTGTAGAAAGGACATTTGTTCTGTTAAAAAAAACCAAAACAGGGAAAACTTAAAGCAATCCACAGGTGTGCATTAAACATTTAATAGCAAGCCTTTGCTTATGTATATTAATTTAAAGATTATCCACAGGGATCTGTGATACATTGGCCCTGCCTTGTTACTATAATTAAATTTATTAAAATATTAATTTAAAATAGGAAAACAAAGAAACTACTCCTTGGGGAACATGTTTATTGTGTTTGAGATGATACACTGGGTGCTCTCTGAGCTACAAAGGGAAAAAGGAAATCCTTTCATTACAAACTGACAAAGGTAAAAGTTAAAACAGTTTTCACAACAGCATGTACCACATATTGGAAATAGATCTGGGTTTAATACAAATGACATAATTCCTAGTAATCTACAGCTACCTTTAATAACTTCATACAGATAATGAATTAGGCTAAAATGCACTATAATATTTGGTTGACTTCAGGAACAGTATCCTTAGTACATCACAAAATACATTTTGATATCCCAAAGAAGCAAGACTTGCAAGTAGGCATTTTAAACATAACTAATCTACAGCTACAAATTTCTACTCTTAATAGCATTTACCTTTTTGGGGGGCAGTATCCCAGTCTTCAAAAGGATAAAAGCAGAGTAGAATCAGTATAACATATACACAGAAGTCCGTATTGTAAAGGCTATAAAGATTTGTTGCACACTGCAAAGTTGCCTTCTGCACCTTCACACTGCACAAGTAGTTTGTCATTTATGTTGCATATCTCTTGGTCCACTGTCTGGCTATCCTGTCATGTTCTGCTCTGTTGGTCAGGTACTGAGTGGCTATGCTTCCAACCAGAGGGTCAGCTGCAAAAGGCAGGAGAACATGCACTATAAACAAAACAAAACTGAACACAGGATTTAAAATACAGAATCTATTTCATAATATAGACTTTGTTGGCCAGAAAATGCTGTGAGGTATAGGGGGCTCTTATCATACAAGAGAAAGCACACAAGGCACAACAAACAGAAAAAGAAAACAGGAATATCTGTTACGGTTATTTGCATATGAATGCATCCTGCCCCAGCCAGAGGCCCTGCTTTCAACCCTTCGGAAGGGCTGCTGGGTGCAAGGAATGTTCAGAGAGCACAGCCTGGCACATTCGGGTCATAACACTGGTGTACATCAGAGTATTTGAACTGCAGGGGACACACTGAGGAGATCCTGTTTGCTTCAAGAGTTATCAAACTTTTGTATCACAGAGGCTAATCCATTTCTCCCTGATCATTGCCAGTGTTCTGTAAATGAACTGCCATCCTAGCACTACTGCTCAGTTCCTGCCCTGACCACAGGCAATTAGCATTCATTGCCAATGACGCTGGTCACACAGTTGTTGCTGAGAAACTGTACTGCTTCCAGTGGAGTTCCTTCCCTCCCAATAGGAACAAGGAACTCTCTCTGAACATTGTCCCTTTCCCATTTGCAAGATTAATCATTTCACTTTCCATCTTAAGGGACTTCTGCGGCCCCTTCCAACCTGCAGGCTTTCTGAGTCTCTAACTCAAGAGAACTTTGTTCCTTTCCTGGATAGATCACTCGCTGGATCTCCTACAATACAGAACTTCTGTGACATCAGCTTATTTTCTGCACCATACCTTGGGAAAAGAAGGGCTTAATGTTCTTTACTTTCTGTTGCACCACAGGAGCGAAAAGTGCCATTAAATTTCGGACCACATGCAAGCAGGAGGGTTTCATCCCCAATTTCAAAAATATTAGTTTTTATTTAATCTGCATACAATCAAATACACAAATTACATTCCATGGCAACTAAGTCAAACAACTAACGCTAGACGCTCAGTGAACTATCAGCTCCTTACCTGGGTTGCAGTCTGTCAGAAGAGAACAAATAGACAGCAGAACCTTTGAAATAGTCAAAGCAGGGCTCCAGTTGTCTTTCAGGATATCCAGACAGATGACTCCCTGACTGTTGATGTTGCAGTGATAAATTCTGGTACGGAAAGTAACCTAGAATCACAGTGTAAGAGAGAGAAAGATAATCAGTCAGTGTTGCCCTGGGATGTTGCCCCTTGTCTCTGAGCTGCAGCAGTGCCAGGGGTGCTGTCAGTTCATCAGAGCTTCCATGGAGGCAGCTCCTCTCTGCTTGCTTTCTAAAACATGACTATTTAACAGAAAAGCATTTACTGTAGTCATGGCTACCTTTAAAGAACCCACCATAGAGATCTTTGGTGCATAAACTGCTTTCACATAGGCCCTCTGTCTGATACCCACAAAAATTAGGAACTACTCTGTAGTACTGTACACAATTTAATGAACGTGCTGCATGTCAAAACCAATCTAATCACAAGTGTAACTTTACTGTGGTTTCTCAAGGTGAAGAAGTAGACAGAGGGTGGCTGCATCTGCAGGATTAGTTGATCTTTTCCTTGCTTTCAAAAACCTAAATATAGACCATGAAAATTAATATTTAAAATTGGAATTTTGTGTTGTTCAAATTAGCAATGAAATCTCTTCATTAGGCAGGACATAATACACCACCAAAACAATGCTCTCACACTACTAACACCTTTGTTTTTAAATTATTTCAGGCTAGTATCAGTATAGCATGTAAGCATTATTCTGCACAAATAAGTCAGAAATATTTAATTGCTTTAATTACATAATGCAGAAGATGAGGGATATTTTCCTTCTCATATTGATGCAAGAGGGGAAAAATCTATGATGTTTTCTGAAACTACTGAAAATTCAAAAATGATCATCCTCTAAAAAAAACCCTATCTATGAGATTTTCATACAGAATTTGTATAAAACTCTGCATCACTTCATTATAACAATCTTAACTCAGAGAATATTAAATTTTGTGGATTTCAGAGAAGTGTGAAATACATAGAGAATATACTATTCTTTATGCTGTAATCCTTCTGGGAATAAAAAGTGGTATTTGATTTGTAATAACAGCATTGTAGCCACATGAGGCTGTTGTGGGGTAGAATGTATTTAGCATTTGCCAATGTCAGCAGTGTCCTTTCTGATGACTTGGTGACAAGTTATACTTTGACATCATATGTTGAAGGGAGCAACCTTTAACTTCTTTGATATCCATTAGTATATTATAATTTCTTCAGTGTCCACACTGTTTCTGAGCAAGGAAGAGAAATTTTAGTTTAAGTCAAGACTAGTTCCATTTACTAAAAAGAGCTTTTGCTGAAAAAATACTATCAAAGCAAGGTTGCTGCTCTTACCTGTAGTAAATAGATTGACATTTTACAATAATGGAAATCATCAGAGTAACTTACCCAATTTGAAGTCACAATATAACATCTCAGTTGTCTATCTAAACTTATTTTAGCTTTCTGTTATTTTGTTAAAATATAATATGTATTTTTAGTGAGAATATATAATATAGAATCTGGTTCATAACAAAAAAAACTTTTTATACGTATGAGAGGAAGGAAACATAAGAAGGTGTTGCCCGGTCTTCTGTTAAAATTCCTTGCATCTTACGTCTTGATCAGAATTATCATCTCATTTATCACCTGGTAAAGCTTGGAAATCAGTATTGACTGTGGTAATCATGAAATAAAACAGACACAGGATTTTTCTGAAACTACAAGCAAAGATTTTGAACCTTGACGTTTTCAAGAAACCATAAGCAAATCTATATTCAAAAGGCAATGAGTACTCACTCACTGCATATTACATACTTCTCACAAGTGAAAATATTATAAATGCAATAAAAACCTTACCCTTACCTTTGGTGGCTTGAATGGATAGTCAGATGAAAATGTGATATCCAGGAAAAAAACACCTCCTTCGTATACAGAACCTGGAGGTCCAAGAATAGTAGATCTCCATTCATAAATGTTATCTCCTTTAGGACCGGCACTGTGTAAAATAACAGGGAGAAAGAAAGAGTCAGGTGTACTGTTGAGAGAGTAGTTTTATGGATTTCCTTCTACATTTATTTTGTTTAATACAAACCACTTGTCTACCCTTAACATCTGCCCAATTTCCCACCGATTTCAGTGGGATCATTGTTTTAAACAGGCACGAAAGCTGGGCACTCCACTGCCCCTTTGGAGATACAGCACTGAAGTAGATCAACCATAAACTACTGACTGTCACTGTCTGAAACATACTCCAGATCTGTTTTCTCAAGTATGTGGTTGCTCTGAGCTTCTACATAATGCTCTTCCAATGACATCATATCCATATACAAAAGGAATTGTGTATCTTGACCACATGCAACTTCTCCAGGCATTAAATGGACCATACCTTCATAAAAAAAGTGACTTACATGAATATTGATGCACCTTTATCGCCACATGTTTCACAGACAAGAATGAAATGTTACATCCCTGGGCAGGAAAATTGGGGATGGGAGAGGCAGTAACCTGGAACTGAGCACTGTCAAACCCAAATAACTGTTTTCCTCAGGATAGATTTGTGTTACGCCTCCAGGCAATCAGCATTGAGAATAGTAGCCCAAAATAGTTTATTTTAAGTAGTGCAATACTGAATGCATTTCTCACTAGGGGAAAGGTTACTGCATAACTAATTATTAAAGCTTTGAAAGAAGGAATAATGAACAAGCATTTTCTCGACTTCTGAGCCATCACATTTAAGCTTCTATTATCACACAGAAACCATCTAACCTCCTCAGGAAAAAAACCAAACAAGCACAATCTTACTTCTGTCAGCAAACACTAATCCAGTCTTCCACAAAAGGTCCTGAATCTGATCCACTGAGATCCAAACTGACTGCTATGGAAAACACCTCCGCTGAGCTCAGGCAGGCACGGTGGTTTTGTCACATCTATGCAGGTGACAAGTCAATAATGCAGCACTGTAAAAGATCCGCTCAATTCTTCCCGCCCTTGGCAGCCTCTCAGGCACCACCTACATCTCACAGGCACATAGTGAAATGCCCCCCTCCTTCTCCCTCTGCGGTCCCAAGGAAGAGGCACACAGGACTGTCATATGTGATTGCACATGAAGCAAGCAGCAAAGCATGGCACCAAGCTGTAGCCTGGGAGTTTGTGGTTTCTGGCACCACTTGACACACAGAGGAGCCTCTCTAAGAGCCCTCCAAGTGTTAAAGTTCTTCCCTTGTTGTGTCACCTCATGTATTTGTCATACATATGTCTGCAGTCTGTAACACGGCATGTTGGACATTCATCTTTACTATGTAGCCAAGCATGTGGAGATGCTCATCAGAGGCAAGGAATATGAGCAGTCTGCACACTGCATCTGCCATTCCCACACCAAAAATTTAGCTATTTTTACGTTAAGATCATATTCAAGAAACAACCAAAAGCTGATTTTGATTATGAATTCCATTTCAATTTGTAATTTTCCAGCATGTTTTTTATCTTGTGGATGTTTTATGTACGCAGTGTTTAAACCATTGCAGGCCTTTCATTAACAGGACAAAACAATCACAGATTTTGGTTCACATCCTATTCAATTAAAACAAAAAAATTATTTGACGGAGCTGTAGGTATTTTCCTGTTGCCGAAACGAAAGTAGGTAACAACGGCTTGCTGGCCTCCAGGGTACAGCTAGGAAACAAAATCTGCAATTCTGTCAAGATAAAGTTTGGGTCTAAAATCACTGATCTTATCTTTCTACTTGTAATGTATGCACAAAAGTGAAAAAAACCCAGTAGATAAATTTTAGGGGGAAAAAGGGAAATCCAGAGGCAAGGAGGTCCATTTTCGATGATGTAATGAACCATTTGTACCCTCAGTCACTCCAGAAGATAATTCTATTCATGCTCTCTAGAAAGCAATTAGTGTAAGAACTGAAAATATTGGGGCAATAATGACAATATTTAAAACCCACACAGGCCACTGAAACGTTTTAATTAATTCTTGACATTCATCAAGCTTACAGCTAATTACTATTGTGCTTGGAAACCAAATTTCTATGGAGCAATTCAATTTCAGCATTAGATGTCCTAATGACTGTTTTATAATTTAATGCAGAGGTTAGTGCTCTTGCCTCGTGTGTCAGGTGCCTTTCTTTCATACACCTCTAACAGCTGGATGCAATTCAATCAGATTAATGAAATAGCTGAATTAAATTAGTGACATATTTCAGCCCAATGAATCAGTCACAATTAAGTGTGGCACCAGCCTGGTGCCAAACTATCTGGTAATCACTTACCAAGTCAGTGCAAGGGCATTTATCAGCTAGTAGCCAGAAACTAAGTGCAGTAACTCTCCACCTATTACTATCTGCTATCCTCTTGTATGCCACTGCTAGCAATGTACAAAAATGATCACGTATAATGTAAGAAGGGGAATTCCTAACCTTGTAAGAGGAAGAAAATGCCGTGTTCAAGCCCCTTCTACTGCTGAGAAAAGACTGCTGCAGTGTCAAAAGTAACACAAAGCTGTAACAATAACCACTTACAGATGCAGGAGAAAATTGTTAAGTTGAACAATTTGGTTATAACTGATTGAGGTTTGCGAAATCCCTATTTAACAGCTGAAGTGGTGTCTCACTTCCAGTGCTGTAAAAGATACCCCTACTTCATTAGTAACCTGAAAATCCCCACAATTACTATCTCAACGATGCGAGGAGACATGAGATTAAAGAGCAGAGACGAGACATCGCACTGGGCTTCTACTACCTGTGTATTTCCTTGGAATCATCCTCAGCCAGCCATACCTACTTTGTCTTTTGTATACACGCTAAGGTAATCTTTTTTGGAAGTGAACAAACCCACACTTTCTAAGGCTCAGCAAAACATACCAGACCTATTCACAGCAGCCTCAGCCTCTGCAATGACTTCCACATGGACAGCGCAGTGGGGTTACACCCACTTGGATGACTGGAGGGAAGAACAGAAAGTGCAGTCCTGCCTCAGGTAACACCTTGGCTGTGTACAGAGCTGCAAGCAAGTGTGGGAGTCTCCATCACTGCAAAGCGTTGTCTTGGTGCTGCAGAAAGCCACAAGGAGGGAACTGCCACTCTGGTGCAAATCTAACTTCTCTGTGCCCACAAAGGACAGCAAAAAACCCGGGCTGAGAACTGGGAATAATGAAGCTTTACTCTGTCCACAATTTTCCATTTCATTGATACACCTGGAAGAAATACTCTCCTCCTTCTGTTGGGCACTAATGAGGCTGGCACAGGGGTGATTCTAGGGGCTGATTCTTGAGCTCTTTAGTCCCAGTTTTCCCGCTATTCAAGAGACTCACCCTCCTATAGCAATCACAGGCTTCGAGCATCTCACCTTAAACCCTGAGAATTGTGGTGACTGACAGCCAAGGAATCTTTCTTGCTGCCTGCCACACTGGACAGAATACCTCAGGCAGAGTGCTACCACAGGAAATTGCCACAGTTTTCTTCCCTCTCCTTTCTTCATCACTGAAAGATCCAGCTCCTTCTGACCTCCCCCATGGAATCCATATGGACAAAAAATGAACTCCTCCATTGTATCCTTTAAAACACAAAATCGCGACAGAGCAACGAATCTGACAGCTACTGCAGTGTTTTGGCTACACAGCATACGTGTCCAGTTCATTGCTACCAACCTGCTGCCCTCCTGAATTAGCTTACACATCATCACAAATTCAGTAAAGGCACCAAAAGTATGTTCTTAATAAAGAGCCACTTAATTAATTTTTTAAAATATGGGCTAAAAAGTCTCACACAAAGTAACAAAACAAATTAATTGAAATGACAAAATACTCTTCGCAAAATTAAGGTGGTTTTTACTTCACACATAAAAGCTGGATTGATTTTCTTAAAATAAATTCAATAAAGTTAACTGGCTACATCTGCTTCCTAAGTAAATACTCATTATGCCACTTCACTGAGGGATATATACCTGATCCAGGTAAGACAAAGGATTTATAACCATGCTCTATCCAAGCTAGTCCACTGAACAGATTTAATTTACAAGTGTGACTTCAGATGGTGAATTTGAGAAGATGTGAGGTTAAACTCTAGGGGTTCATGGGCCCACATCAGATC